GTGTGTGTGTATGAGAGAGAGACAGAGAGAATCTCATGTAGCTCTGGCTGTCCTGTGTGTGTGTGTGACAGTATCTCATCATGTAGCTCTGGCTGTCCTGCAACTTATTTCTGTCACTCCTGTTGACCAGGCTACTAGCACACTTGTGATTTTTACAAAACTCAAAATATTGCTAGGGAATCGTGTATGATTGCGTACATCTTGCATATATATATATATATGCATATATATATATATATATATATATATTTGATTTGACATCTCACTTTAGGAATTTTACTAGAATACCTAACAGTGTAGGATACATTAACTATATAAAGCAAAAACTATTAAAACTCCAGTCCATGGTTGGCCATGTAACACCGCTGCTAGAGTGCTTGCAGCCATGAAGCTCTAAGTTGGATCCCCAGCCTGGCATAAATTCGGTGTGTGTGGCAATATAGGCCTGTAATCATAGCACTTAGGAGGTGGCGGCAAGGAGAATCAGACATTCCAGGTCATTCTTGACTACATAATGAGTTTGAGGCCATTCTGGGCTACGGGACACCTTGTCTGAAAAGAATTCTTCAATGGTTTGTTTTACCACCTACATCCAAAGTGTTTTTCTGGAGAAAGAAGTTACAAACAATCCATGTGTTAACACAAGGAATTGAAGTGTGGCCTGTATTTAGTGAGAGTTCTAGCTGCCGTAAGTCACGTTTACCGGCACTGTTAAAGCAGTAACAATGCTATCCAACTGCTTCTGCCACTACCGCTTGCCATGCTCCTATTTTCAGTTTAGACGCCCTCACACCACAGAACCGCTCTTCATTTACTGTTAAGGCTGCAAGTTTTGAAGAAGATACATCTGTTAACGTTTCAGGATACCTCCACAACTTTGGCTTCTCCATTTTCAGCGTTGTCCATGGTGCATGCCTCCTGAACATCTTGGGGCTTGCTTTCAGGAACTGCCACGACACCTGCATCCTTGTTTTCTTCCGCTACAACATTTGTAGCCTTCATTTTCTGTCCAGCAACACAAAAATCATAAAAACACACAATTTAGCTGCCATGTTAATTAAACCCCCAAAGTTACATTAATATCTGGTAAAATAATTTACAGATAGTTTCAGAATACTACACATAAATCTGATAACAAGAAAATGAACACATGAGTCTTTTGGTATTACCTTGAAAGCAGCATTAAAAATAAATTGTTACCCTGATATCAATGAAAGAAATCTGCTTTATGCTGACTGCAATGAGAAATAACAAGATAGTGTTTGCTTGTGTCCACCAAGGTCCAATTCCCAGCACCAGGTTAGACCAATAAATCGAATGTCTCTTACCAAAGTCAGTTTATTGCTGTCTTGTCTAATAGTTAGCAATAGGGTTGTTTTAATTATAAAGGCTCCATTGGTAGTAGTTAAGAGAAATGTCATGTTAGTAACAACATCATCTTCGACACGTCTAGAGGAGACCATCATGAGATGCGGCTGTTCTAACCGCTGTATGTGTGAGCTGTCCAGTTCCTTATCTTTTTTGTTGTTGTTGTTTGGCTATGCGAAAGTTCTTTGCTTAAGTGTAAACACAGCAGGAAGATCATTTATTTAAGATGCCAGAGAAATCTACTTGAATCCTAGATCTTCCACTTATCTAATGTTTTCTTGAGGAAAGGTATGACTCTTTCAGATTCTGCTTTCATATATGAAAAGATAGCACCACCCACTACACAGGGGACATTATAAGGGTCAAGTGAGAAAATGCCTATGGAATTGTTAGAAGTTATAAGCTGCACCATACAGAAAAGCCATTACTCTGTTAACCAATGAGAGACAGAGATTTGAGGAACAGAAACAATTTTCAAGTGTGTGATTACACTATACTTTTATATTTATTCCTATCCATTTTTCCCATCCTCCCTCTCAGTGCAACCCGCAGAAGAACAGTTGAACAGCTAGCGAGACTGCCTCAATGTTTAAGCTGACTGATCAAGATCATCAAAAAGCACTTACGAATTTTTAAACAACAAATACCAAAAACAGCTTACAAAAATGATCATCGTTGGTTGTGCCTTCAGTCAGAAAATGGCAAGATTAGATGATCTCAACAATTCTTTTATTGTCCAGGGCAGAGAGCGCACATATGCGGTCGCTCCACTACCACAAAACATGTGGTCAAGTTTCCCAGACTCGGGGAAATGGCAGGGGTCAGCACATTAGGAGTGTGATGATGAGCCCCTTCCTGGGCAAACCACCTTCGTGATCATGGCATCTCCCCTGCCGGGTAAATATTCAAATATTCTTGTGGTGCATTTTTCTTTTTGTGGGGGAAGGATTTATTTATAGTCTATCGTCTAGGGAAGTCAGGGCAGAAACCTGGGGACAGGTGCTGAAACAGAAGCCACAGAACAGTGTTTACTGTATGGCTCTCATTGAGTATCTTTTATAGCTTTAATCTTTTCTGATTTCTGTAATTCAACCAATTGTTAGGAAAAAATTGTGTAATAAAGCAATTAAAAGTTAACTTAATATTGATTTTATGTCTCTTTCAGCCTGTCATTAAGTATAACATCCAAGCACAGACATCTATATAAAACCATCTGACTCCATTTAAAGCACTTCCTGAAGTAGGATCAAATATTAGTTGCTGCTATTATTATAACGAACTATTGGGTTACTACAGTTTATGGCCTTTGTTTTCCCAGGAATATTGGTATTTTAGCGACTAAATCTTAAAGGCATATACATTTAATGCGTCTACCTACCTACATTTTCTATTTTACATGTACAATATTGTGTTGTAACTACCAAATAAAAATGCTAAGACTCAGCTGCCAATTCCAAAATGCAGACAAATGTTCACCACCCAGTAGAGCTATAGGTACGGTACATTGCATTTCTGGGTAAGCAAACTATGAAGAGAAAGGATCCATTGTGCGCAGGTTTACAATTTATTTCTTTAAAAAACCCACATTTTCTTCAAAGTCAGAATTTTAATATTTACCCTTGGAGTTGATGATCTTTTCGGTTTCAACTCTGGTGTAAAGGGCACAGGCATCTGCATCAGAAAACACCATTATATAAGAAAAGAGAAAGAAATCATATTTGAAGAAAGCACTAGCAATGAAATCTACGAGCATGATTTAAACTAAGTACTAGGGACAAAAAAAAACCCTTTTCTTTACTGCATAAAGTTTCTCCCATAACCATTCCAAATAAGCCTTGAATTAAACATAATATTATGTAGGATTCCCTGATTCTAAAACCTCCATCACATGATACTTGGGCAGCATTGTATAAAGACCACTTACAGCAGACAGTCGGGCTGATCGTCTCTTTGGCTGGAAGTGGGGGAAAAAAAGTTAAAAGAATTATGAATGTACAAATCTGGAATTATTTTTATTGAGAAAATATTTGGTGTAACACTGTATAAATATTGGTAGTAAGGAAGTGATTATAAATTTAGTTAAGAACTATCAGTAGATTCATGTGACCCCCTGGGGCCCTTTCCTATGGTAAAGAGACCATGGTAAAAATCCATGACAAGCTTCTTTCACTGAACTAAATCAGCAAAGTTGCTGTTACTGAGGAGCACGTTTTAAAATGAACATACCTTTCTGCGCGCCAACTGACCAAAGAGAATTTAAGCCTAAGAAGGTGCTCTCTGGACCTTATAACAAGCGCAGTAGGACCCTAGATTCCAGAAAGTCTGTCATTTTTATTAATGTACTTTTAAGAGAGCATTGGTACACACAACATTAGCACTCATTCAATACAAACATAATCACCAGCATTAAATTTTACATAGTTATATGTCTTTAGTTTCTAAAATGGGTGCATATCTTTTCAGAGAAACTCACAAACTAAGGACACTCACCTCCTGGCTGGCATCGCTTGCAGCCTATGTAGAGGGAGAAAAACAGAAAAAAGATAGAGGGTAATCAATATAAACACGTAGATCAAAACATACAGCCGATGGATTCGAATTACGACTTTAGCCACTTGTTACTTTTTTCCTGGGTTCCCGCTCCAGCAGCCACGTGTTGTTTTCTAGCAGCGAGCTAGACCACAGCTGCTGTTTTGGTAACACGAAGTGTACACCGAGTTGCAAGTTCATACTCAAGACCCTTTTACAAAGAGTCAGTGTAACCTTTTTTGTGTAAATAAGGTCTCTTAAAAACAAACCATTTTCATTTTGAAATCCACCTGCTCTAATGTTAAAGCCAAAACACAAGGGTTGGGGCGGGACGAACGAAGGCGGAGCTTCTTGCAATTTCCCTCTCTTGCCTTCTGTTTGCCGTGCAATTGTATCTATCTGACCTGCTCTGCTGATTATGGACTATTTTCCTCCCCAAATCCTGCATACAAAACAACAACCCCACCATACTTTCAAGAAAGAATGTCTTTGTTCTAACGTCAACGTTTTATTCGGAGAAGCAGGCGGAGGATTTTAAAACTTCCCGCCACTACCTGCTACAAGGTTGCTGTCAGCTCTGCAAAAAAGCAAGATCCATTGCACAAGCCGAAAAGAACCCGGCGGGAGCCTCGGCGAAGGGGGTGGTGATTAGAAACAATTGCTTTCGGTATCGGAGTAGCCCTTTACCCTGGGAATTACCAGGCTATTATTTCACCGACTCATACAGCCCATAGCACTGAGGAATTCAGCCTCGTTTCTATGTTCTAGGAATACGGAAGGCGGACGGATTCACAAGAATATAAGAACAATTATAAGGCTTTTACATTAACACAGTGTTTTACGATTTCACCAAGCAATGAAACAGCACTCCATTTTACTTGTAAGAGACTCGGGAGGAAAAAAACGGAAACACAAACACTGAGCGTCAACTTATTTCCTATCTATGCGGAGACAGGAATTTTGAAGTGAAGGTTTACAGGAGACCTGTAGCCCTTGGTAGCTCGGATCAACTCCCCAATGTCTAAAGTGAACAAATCTCACGGCGCCCCACCATCCAACGCTGACTGTAGTTTCTCGGACGCGACTCTCTAATCACCTTTCCACCTTTAACTAGAGAGTTCCGAGAGTGCCAAATCTTTTAGATCTAAAGTTTCTAATTACAGCGGTGAATCTCTCCCTTCTCTAGGACAGTTTGAAGTCTGCGCCGCCTAATGGCACAGTATTACCATTGCATAGCCATCTGGCATGACAAGAAGTGGAGGAGGGAAGAGGGGGAAAAAAGGAAAAAAGAAAACGGAAAGAACAAAGGCAAAAAAACAAGAGAAAGCTGGGGCTTTCGTTCTCCCAAACGAGACGGTTCCCGGAGAAAAACTGGAGGTAGAGGAGGAAGCTGGCGCTGGAAGTGTGGTTGGGAGAAGAGTTCTCCAATAGGGTAAGCGGAGGAAGGGGGGTGGGGTAGGAAGCGACAGCACAGCGCTATGGCTGTTTGTAATTCAGCATGGAGACACCTCTCAAACGATTCTCTCCCTTAAACAAAACAGGCCAAAAGTGAACTACCAGTTGCACACGAGACCTTTCGAAACCAAACACAGACGGCTCGCTACCTTTCCCTCGCCTTCCATTGAGAACATCACAAAATCGAACTAGAAGCCAAAATGCTCCTTCAAAAAGATAGAAATCTCTGCCGTAGGAAATATGTATTTCGGCAGCTAATCTCCCGTCTATCTTCCCATTTCACTTACCTTTCTTTTGGGCATTGTTGCAGCTCTCCGCAGGAGATCCTTAGGCAGGAGGGAAAAATGCCGAGAGCAGTCTCCGTCTGACCGCTCCGCGAGCGACTGAGTTTTCAATGAACTAATTGCAGCACGATATGTTCTCGCGTCCCCCCTCCCCCTAAAAAAAATCTCTCGTTATTGGCAACATTAAACACGCCAAGACGCAACCAAACTACGTGAATGGCTAGCCGAAGTGGGAGCCAGGTTGGAGTGACAGACTGTCAGGCCAATCAGGGGAGGTGGCCGGTTCGGAAGGCGTGGCTCGCGAACTTGCCCGAAGCCCTCGTACGCTGCCGGCTTTGACTGCCTCTGGGGTGCAGGAGTCCAGGCACTTAGCAGACGCCTAGTGCTCCAACGTGACCAGCAGGAAATCCAGTTTTTTTTTTTTTTTGCCTTTTCACCCTTTTATGTTTTAACGAGGAGCGAAAGCTCAAACAGTTGTTTTTTTCCACGATTTCCAACCCCCACCCCTTCCTTCTTCGCGCGGGGTGGCGGGCCCTTTTGAGACTGGATTGAGCCAGAGCCCCGGTCTTTCCCAGTTGGCAAGAGGGTGAGGTTGAAGTGACAGGAGCACCCGTTTAGAGATCAGGAAAAAAAAGAGTGGGAACGCTTCTGGTCGTGAGAACTTCCCGCCAAAGCTGAACTGGTCCCGGCTTTAGAAGGGTGCCAGAACTACGCGCCTCCCGCAGGTGGAGAGTAGCAATAAATGTGGGACCTGGAAGAGCAGGACGCTCCTGCAGGCCGCCTACCTTCTAAAAGAACCATTACCCCGGCTGGAGGGAGTCCACCAAAAATTGAATGGGGCCACGCGGGAAGTCTTTAACAGCAGATTTCTACCCGGAGGGAAATCATTGGCTTTAATGTTTTTCTTTAATTCAAAAGTGATATTTAAGATTACATACAAAGCAAAACAAAACCATTCCTTATCTTCATTACTGAAACTTGAGGTGTCGCCTTACTTTTATTTGATTTTGCTCACAGAAGTGCCCCCTAAACGTATTCTAGTCTCAGGCAGTGTTTAAATGGTCGTTTACTGTTTTGAGAATCTTCCATTTGTCTTCTGGTGTCGGAGTCTGAGACCTTAAACGTTTGGAAAGTAAAGAATATAATGCCTAGAAAAAATTCTGGTTAAAACAGAGTGCTGAGGGCGGCTAATTGTTACTGGAAGTAAGCAGGCAGGTCTCCGACTCCGCAGCTTTTTTTTTTTTTTTTTTTTTTTTGAGACGTTTGCCTTGCTGTTGTTGAAAGAGCTATTTGTATTTAAATGTGCTTCAACAACAGTCTACATTCCCTACACTGAAAGGCTAATCAGGAAAGAAAATTAACCCTTTAAACAGTTACTTAAGAATTTAGACCCCCGGCCTGGTGGTGCTAGCCTTTAATCCCAGCACTGGGAAGGCAGAAACAGGCCAATCTCTGTGAGATCGAGGTCAGCCTAGTCTACAAAGCAAGGGAGCCAGAGCTATCTAGTGAAACCGGGTCTATTTATTACCTGGTGATACCTCCAATTCAATTTATGCTCTGCAAGGTTAAAGAAAAAACAGACTGGGGCTGGAGAGATGGCTCAGCAGTTAAGAGCCCCTGGCTGTTTTTCCAAAGGA